TCAAGAAGTTTTAGATTTGCGTGGTTTTTTTTGAGTTGCAAAATCCACTTGAACATGACGCTGCTTTTTTCGAAGTTTCTCAATAACCATTCGAGTCACAGAATTGGAGTGCATTCAACACTTGACTGATTAGAAAAATTAGAATCTGGAAAGGCTTTGTGCTCTCAAATATTAAAAATCCAGATTTCCATTGCCTTGCTTAGGAATTGACTAAAAAATAACGTGTAAAACACACATAATTCGGTACTAAAAATATATGCAAACTATTGGTTCTGGTATGAATCATGAATGATCTCACGAACAACACAATGCTCCTCATTTTAATTGCCTTGTACGTCAGAAATTGAATATTACGGATGAGGAAACTCGAGGGGACTCGATTTTAAATAATATATGCGGCAATTTGGATTAATATTTTTGACAAACCCACTTTTTCTGTTGTACATCAATATTTAACGAAAACCTTCTACAGGTCCTTAAAATAGAAAATTAAACGGGACATTCGGAAAAAGGTAAACTTTAAATAAATGCCTTATTTGAGCTCACCTGAAGTAAACCGTCGGGGTCGTTTAGAGTAAAATAAGGACACATTGAATATTTAATTAAGGTAAGTCGGAGGTCACAGTATCAACTGCTTTCTATCTACATAGAAAAAGCTGTCCATATTTAAGTATGTAACTCAGTTGTAGGATTTACTTCCTTATTGCCCGTTCTTTGCCTTTAAATAGAATTGATCCATTTTATGCAGATTCATTCGAAAACGTTTGATCTGAGAAATGAGGCAACGTGAGTAAGATAAAAGTTTGGACTAATCACCAATTTTTGGCCGGAACTTTTCCTTGAAAGCGCTAAAAAAATTAATGGGATGTAGGATTTTGGCGACTTTCACTCCTTTTCAATACAGACAAAATTATCAAATATCAATTTCTTTGTTAAAGCGCTCCCGACTTAGCATCCCTTCTTTACGGCAAAAAGTTAGTTTTGCGAGATTCAAAAAAATAACTGAGGAATTTTGGCTCTAAATATAAACAAAATAAAGTATTTCAACAAAATTCGAATGTATCAATCACCTGCAAGAAAAATGAGTACAAGGCTTGATTTTCGTATCAATTTATCGACCTTTATTTTGCTTTAGAGCACTAAAAGTTAAGTTCGTTGCCATTATTGCAGGCATTTTCATTCGGATTCAGTAGTAGCGTAGTTTTCCAAAATCTGCTGGAATATTTGGACTTTTTTACCCTTAAAAACTCCACATATTCCAAATTTCCTCAACACTTTCAGATGTATATCTATTACATACTTATTAATACAAATATCACATTTTGGTGCTTCTGAGAAACTTTAACGGCGGAAGAGAAAGTAACTGAAACGCTTCTTAAAAGGACTGTGGGTAAGAGCGGAACTGAACATTGAGCAAGTTTTAAGTAATTTTTCATCGCCTATTTCACATCTCATTGTTTGCCATTAAAAAGAATGTTTCACCATACTTGCAAGAAAAGAACTTTAGACCACATATTTGGGGAAGCAACTGAGCTGGAGAGTTAGGCATAAGGCTCTTTTATCAAAAAAATATTGATTCGTATTTTCACGATAAAACGCGAATTTAAGTGTGAATTATTTGCTAACTAGGAAAATATTCATCTAAATAACTGAGCCTTCGTGTTTTCAGCGCAACTTTTACAAACTTCCCAGGCAAAATTTAGTCTCCTGCTTACTCCCCATAGAAAAATGACCGGCGTTGAACATTCTGGACCCAAATCCACAAGTAATTTCATTTAAATCTCACCTGTAAAAGTAATGAGAATGGGGCAGCACACATGCAAGTTTCTCCTTGAGCAGTCTGTAGTCTCGATTCGTCCAAACCTCCTGCAGACAGACCACATCAAAGGGATGTAAAGCGAGCAGATCTGCAATCGCTGAAATCCGGGCTTTTCTGTTTTTTGACACCACAGCTAGCCCCCTTACAAGTGAAAATGAGAAATATGTTAGCGAATATTTCGCGTGAATGCCACTGTTCCTAACTCACCAGCAATTGAGCGTGAACACTTTGAAGTCGAGAGCCATATTTCGTACTGCAGCAGCAAAGGCTCGGAAGCGAATTCATAGAAACTAAAAGCTGAAAGTGAATCTTTGATTTTGCCGTGATTTTGCCACTATCTGGCAGTCGTGGAATAAATAAATACTTGATGGGGCGCTGGCTAAAGCGACAACTGACTGTGGAAATACCGGTTGGAAAAAATGAGAAAATAAAAGTTTCCTCAACTTGTTTGCAACTAAATGGCTGTCGCAGGTAGCTTCATCTCCCATGCGTCCGACAAAAGCTAGCAACGGGTGCAAAACTCACCCTGAAACAAACCCGAAATTCTAAACAACAACTAATTAAGAAAAACAATAGCAGCGAATCACCAGCCACTGAAACTTGTTGTCAAATCCGATGGAGGTTATGATTTGAACGATTTGAACTTGGGGATTTAGGGGGTCAATTCCTATCGCTTATCGGCTAATCCCCTCACCTCCAGCTCCCAAATAGAGTGACACGTTAATTGTAGAATAGTAACGTCTAAGGCAAGCAATGGAGCTGCAGTGCAAAGTCCAGAACTATGAATGGGGCAAAAAGGGCTCCGCTAGCAAGGTGGCGCAGCTGCAAAAGGGGGCGAATCGACAATTTGAAATAGACGAAAACCTGCCCTATGCGGAGCTCTGGATGGGGACGCATGTCAATGCGCCCTCAGTAGTGAAAACGACCGATAAACCACTTGCGGATGTTATTACACAACACCCTGAGTATCTAGGCGAAGAAGTGCTGAAGCAATTTCAGGAACTGCCCTTTTTGTTCAAAGTTCTGTCTGTAAATAAAGCCTTGTCAATCCAGGCCCATCCTTCCAAGGTAACTTCCCAATTAGTTGTATTCAATGTGTGAACTTTGCGGGTTTTGTAGAAGCATGCAGAACAGTTGCATGCTCAGTTCCCCGATGTTTACAAGGACCCCAATCACAAGCCTGAAATGGCCATTGCTTTGACCCCATTTGAGGCTCTGTGTGGCTTCCGGCCTTGGCCCCAAATCAAACACTTTATAGAAAGTAAGACCCAACTAACACACCTACTAAGAATATCCTCTATAACTGTCTGTATTATTTTTTAGCTATTCCAGAACTGCAAGAGGTTGTGGGGTTGGACTCTACAACGGCCGATGGTGATCTAATAAGGCGCGCATTTAAACAAATCCTCACATCTAGCAAGAGCATAATATCTGCAGCTATTGATAGTCTTCTGAAGAGATTTGCCGGATCGGGTAGAAGCGAAGCCTTGTTTAATACAATGGTTAAGTGAACGGTCTAATTATTCCAGATGCTGGTGAGCGCTGTTTTTTGCACGCTGACTTGGTTGAGAGGCTGCACTCAGAATTTCCCTATGACAATGGAATTTTGATGGTCTACTTTCTAAACTATTTACAATTGAAGCCATCTGAGGCTCTGTTTCTAGGCGCAAATGAACCTCATGCCTACTTGTTTGGAGGTAAAGTTTTAAACATTTTTTTACAGTTTTGAATAGCTAACTGTCTGATTCGGAAAGAAGAAGTCTGTCACCAAGCGGGAGGGTTTTATAAATCTTTAGCTATAAACATTGGGGCAGCAGCAAAATACGTTTCTAACCGACCTTAAAAAAATAATTTTATTGTAGATTGTATTGAATGTATGGCATGCTCGGACAACGTCGTTAGAGCGGGATTAACTCCAAAATTCGTTGATGTCGAGACACTTTGCTCCATGCTTATATACGAGGGCGCTCCACCTGAAGAAAAGCTGTATTCACCCGCCCGAGAAGATGGTTTTTCTGTTATTTTTCGACCTCCTGTCCCGGACTTCGCGGTCGTCCAAATTAAAGTACGCAAAACAAGAAAACCCTTAAACCAACTAAAGCTAATTATATTGCAGATTCCTAGCAGTGAAGTTGAATATTCGACAATAGCAAGAAACAGTGCAAGTATTTTGCTGGTCGTGTCAGGCAATGCCCAGTCCTCACTGGGCGCAGTTGGATCAGGAACCATCCTTTTCATTCCCGCAATGGAAACTGTGGCTTTTACGAACATTTGCGGCGATCTGCTGATGTATCAGGCGCTAGCCAATGTTTAGATTGTTTATGTTTGTTCCAAAGCTGCTGTTTATTCAAGTGAAAAGGCAATTGATGTGATGTTTCAATTGGACGTTGTTTCACTTAACGCTTGAAATTTGCCGATAATAACGACGTGATACCCTGCCTTGAAAAGTCCCGGAAATTTATGTTTAAGCGGGTTTGCTATGAAGTGGAAGCATTCGCTGTTTTATCACGAAAAAGCATCCACCTAATGATCGAGAAACATCAGGGTCTGGACCAATTTTGATGGCCACACTCTTTCGAGCCCACAAAATCTAGATGGTTTAGAGTCAATTGTTGCCAACATTTATTGAGATGAATAGTGAACTGTATGAAGAACAAGACGGGAGCGGTCGTTATTTTGTGAAGAAAGGAAGCATCCGCCGAATAATCAAGTAAAGCCATTTGGGATTGTAAGATGAAGACGTAATAATATTAATATGGGAAATTTACTGGAGTAATTAATTACGGGTGTTGTTTATTTTAGGAATTAGGACAGTTTCTTGCTAATATTTTGTCCATAAATTAATGAAAATGCGCATGACTCGGCGTCCAATTGCTAATAAACCCTGCCAACATTTCTGGCCTTACAACAGTGCAAGCACACATCTCGTAATTGTGTTTAGCGCTACGAATCCAGACGTAAATCATAATGGTGAGTCTAGTCATCTGCCGTTTATAATAGTTGTGAATATTCTTCACTATCTTGAGCATGTTTTAATGCGGTTTTCTACAGGTTGACAAGGTGACTGTGGGGCTTTTCATTATCTTGATGGTCCATTTAGCAGCGGGAGCCACAATGAATCAGTCAGGAGAAGAAAGTGAAGTTGTCGAACAAAAGGCGACAAGAATCAGACAGAATCCTTTCGCCCCTTTCGCCATTCCCATCCTGGTGTCTGAAGACGAGGATGCAGATGAAAAATCTGCCAACAATCCAGAGGACGAGGCGATTATTGGTGAGGCTAAAAACGGGCTGCATCCCGCAAATGTCCACTAGAAGTACGAAAGCATACTTTATATGAATAAAATACTATCAGCATATAAGTAACGCAGAATTAGAAAAACAGTTGTTTGCAAAGATGCGTTTGTTTTGAGTCGATTTTCCCAGCCATAACACCCGGTATAATCGTTTAATGATAAACTTTTATTCAGCTTTACCTCCGACCGAGCGTCAAATGATTAGGGGAGGAAATGCACCCTTCATTGCTGTCCTAGGAACAATGTAACGGCACCCTTTTGGGGCAGTATGTCGCGTGCACATCTGTCCCTGGACAGATGCGGGAAACTGCTTGTTACCAATATATGCACGCGTGCTGTTCGGCTTTGTCGCATGCCAGGTTTTGATTAAAAACTTTGCAGATTAATTTTCGATTGCACGGTTTATGCGTCCAACCGGTTAGTTTTTGTTTGGTTTTTTTTCGGGGGTTCGTACTGAACATGATTGGCGATTATGTGAAGGGAAATAAAGCGTTTTTTATCCTGTATTTTTTTCCTCAAAGGGTCCAGGATTAAACAAAACAAGCTCGATAAAGACAAAACTTCATTTATCCCCAATGGTTTCTTATTTCTGCTTCTTCTTGTTTATCAGACAATCGCAGATATTTAATGGGATTTAAACCGGGCCCTTACACAGCAACTCTGGGGGAAAATCAGCTTCTATTCCACGTCATCTCGGCGACAATGATGAATTTACGACGCATTAAATTTCCCATTTTCGGTGCCATTCAATCATTTTGTTCATTCAGAAGCGGATCAGGACCCTTTGGCAGGGGCGTAAGGCGTAATTAACCCTTGGTCATACATTTGGACGCTTAATGACCATAACTGTGCCCATTTTACGCGTTTGTGGACATTTTCCAGGTTCGAAAATTGATAAAAACTCTCAGGCTTTTCCATATATTTTTCACTGTTTACTATTTGCCTACCTAATTAATAAAGAACTGAAGTCAATTCTCAATAATACTGATTCTACGATTGATTCAATTTTTCGCCCCAAATGAAAAGCAATTGCTTTATAAAGCCACAGCAGATAAAATGTTGTGGCAATCTTAAAATTCCCTGATGGGAATTAATGAGAATCCCTAAATCAGACTTGTGTCGCAACCTCACCGTTTATTTTTTATTTACAAATTCGCATTTTATCTCCCGAGCCATAAAAGTGGGGATCGGGCCATGGAAATATTAAATTTTGCAATTTATGAGTTAATCATCTTCGTTAGCTCTGTCGTATTGAAAGAAATTGCTCCCGGGAATTCTTGCGAATTTTCACAAAGAAGATCGGTTATCCCGGAGGTTTGTGGCGACGCAAATTAAGTGAATGTTTATTTAATTAAGGCAGGAATTAGAGAATAGAATAAGCCGTCTTTTAGTACAAGATGTTGTTTAAAAACTAGTAATTTATGTTAAATAAAGTTGGACTTGCGGTTTTCACCAGGGTATTACAAATGGGCAATGATTAGACGATGAAAAGCTGTATATGCTCGGAGAGTAGGATAAATTGCTGTTTCGAGTATAAAAAAAGTAAATTTTAGCAATTTTAGTGGTCTTTAAAAAATCGACTCTCAACAGTTTTTCAAAAAAAAATAGCGAAATTGGTGCTACACAAAACTCGAAAAAAAAATTTAAATTTCTCGGATTTTAGTGTTGGTAGTAAAAATTGTTGTCTCAAGGTTTACATTTTTTTTGATTTTATGCTTCTAGAAAAATAATTTTCTAAAAAAAAATAAAGAAGCGAGCAACTTTGCGGCTTTTGCCCGCTTATTCATAAAATATAAAGCTCTACGACTGCAAAAAACTGAGTTCTTGGATTTCATATGTTGATAAAAACTTGTAAACTGCAAATTTTGTGGTGGTACGAAATTTTTTGCGATTTTAGCTCTCTTTCACAAATCAAATGGAAAAATTGTTCGGAAAAATCTGGTGTCTGGCGGTTGTCTCCAGATTGATCACAAGAGATTAAAAAGCTCAATGCACTGGTACCTTCAGCTATTATCAGAAAAATGGGTTGTTTTTTTCATTAAAGTATGCAATTTTGAGCGTTTACCGAAAAATCTTTTTTTTTTAAATGATTGGCTACTTGTTATTTTCGTGAGCTTATTCACAAAAGGTCAAAGCTTAGAAGGTAAAAAACTGAATATGCTTTGAGAGTAGAATAAACTGCTGTTTCGAGTATAAAATAAGCAATTTGTGGCCATTTTAGCGGTGTTCCAAAGATCGAAATTAGACAATTTTTTAGAAAGTTAAAGATTGAAAGTTCCGAAATTTCATCTGTTGGTAGTAAAAGATGTCGTCTCAAGCATTAAAAATATATTTTTTTCTGATTTTATACTTCTAGAAATATCAATTTTTACAAAAAGTGCGAAAAAGCTAGCGACTCGCGATGTTCGACACGTGGTTCACTAAATATCAAGCCTTAAATGGCATAAAAGTGAGTTACTGGATTTCATATATTGATGAAAAATTGACAAATAATGGGCATGAAAATCAACATGTCTTTGCGATTTTAGCGCGCTTTGAAAAATCAAACCAAAAAATCGGGCGTTTTGCGGTTGTCACCAGATTATTCATAAGAAACTCAAATACGTACGATAAAAAACTGAAAGCGCTTGAACTTCAGATTTTAGCGGACAAATTTGTTGTTTCTTGCATCAAATACTTACTAAAAATGTCGTTTTTCAAGGGAATTTTAAAATTTTTTGAAAATTTCAAGAATTATTCATAATTTACATTGAAGCTTAATCTTATTATTTTCTATTTATTGGCATGCTCCTAAGTGGACAATTCTTGAGTCCGAACCCTAAAAGTTTAACGATAAACCAAATAACTCAAAAAACTTTTTGAATTTTTAAGACATCCCTCCTGTTTACAGGGCGGCCTCAAAAAAACAACTTTTTGGTCTTGCAGCGAATACTTTTTTACTCTAGGTTCATTCTAAGACGAAAATTCGATATACCGGGTTGCATGAAAAGGGCACCTAAATCTGTGATTCTGGAAGATTTTCGACCAAGTGAAGTATACTTTCAAATATTTCGTTAATTCGTGCAACCCGGTAATTTGAATAATTATTTTCTGAAGTCCACTGAGTTCCAGAGCAAAAATACTATTTTTTTAAGACCACTCAGTAAATGTAAGAGATGAGCACCAAATTCAAGAACGTTTTTCGGGATATAAGGTTTATCTGCTTAAATGTCTGATTGTGGCATTGAAAAGCAAGAAATAGTTTTTTCGTCTAATTGAGAATACGCGAAACTTTCACCAATGTTGCATTGTTTGATCTCCCACCCCGTAGAAACTTTATCTGACGCACTATTTTGCAACACCACGCACTAACCGAAAAAAAATTGCATTAATTTTCCAGTTCCAAAGTTGGTTCAAATTAGTTTAGTGTAACCAATAACTTTTTTTGACCAGTTTAGTTGGGTTCCTTAGACCTTAGAGAAACTTCCTCAAGTACAAAAACCTTAATAAAAATATTCAAGTACAAGAATTTTCTAGTATACAGACTGTAACTAACTAGAATACGGTCCAATCTTGCTAATAACTCTCGAAATAGCATTTGCTGCAATTACTAGCTAGCGCTGCACTTGCACTCGGTTCGAATGCAAAAACTGCATCCTGTTCGTTGAAACCAAGAGATACACATTCCAGGATTTAACATCGCTAAAATGTGCGGCCGTAAATTATTGCGCTCACATCGTTAAAATTTAGTACAGTCACAAGTGATTATCCTTTAGGAATGAGAGAGGTAAAACTGCCATATGAATGCAAACTATGAAATTCGTAATTAACCTCCGACACGTCGAGAGAAAATTTCGCTCGAAAGCCAGTCGTCTCGCTGAATAGACGAACATTTCTTAATTAAGTGTTCCTGGAGAACTGCAGAACGATTGAGGCTGACATGACTGGTTATGGAATATCGTGAGTGGATTTTTTTAGCAAAGTAGGAATTTATTTGCAACTTTTTCGTACGTAGCTGGTTTCTTCGAGAGGAATCTTCGAAAGAAGTTTGCTGGAGAAAACGGACTTTATTGAGCAATTTTCTGATTACTTTTTGGAATTTTATCATTAGCAAAGAGAGCTAGTAAACGAACAGAAAAACTAAAACTTTTCCGAGAGAAACAAAGACTCTAAATATGCATATTTAAATTGCGGTTTTCAAAATGGTTTTTCCAGTTCTGTAGACGCTCGAAAATTTCACAATGTTGATAACAATCGATCAGTTCAGTCTACTGATGGGAACTGATCAGATAAATTGAAACCGTTATGGTTCGATTTAACTCGACGATTTAATTTAATTATTATAATTTAAGTTAACGATTCAATTTAAACTATTTTCTTGGATAGGAGAATACTTGAAAGCTTTTTTACATATAAATGCTCAGCTCTTATGGCAAAAATAAAAGAAACGAAGCAAAAGATGAAAACCACGCGGCTAAACTACAAAATAAAATCGTGTGTGAAAAGTGAATTTTGTTTTAAATACAAGAGAAGATTGAATGGGGAATTGATCAAATTGGGCAAGTTTCTCCACATTTTTAAAGGCCTTTCAATTGACTTGCCCCCTTAAAGCGAATTTCCCACAATAAAATACTTAGCAATTTTGAGCATTAATACTAAATTAGGGATTAAAACCTACTACTACTTGTATTATGGATGGGGCCAGCCAACACAAAGCAAACCGGTATTATTAACACTGCTGCCCATTTTCGAGTGATCAGAAAATCGCCCTTGATTGTTGGGTAGCACGCGTGTTTTTAGGGGGTAATTTGAAGCCCTCAGAGACCATCTGTCATTAGGATTTACCGTATTCTGCAGCTCCCTTCGCGGATGGCAACTAAATGTGTCGGTTCACTGATGAGAATGGACCGGTTACAAATACAAAGGGTCTCGATATAATATATGAGTCAGCCAATATTGGGGAAAACGGAGAAAAATTGCATTTATCTAATGAAACCTGATCGATCAAATACGGGAGTTTGATGTGGCTGGATTTCCTATTTGAACTGGTGCTAGCAGCTAGTAAATAAGTCTCGACTGTTTTTGAACATTCTTTAGAACGTTTTTGTGTATTTTCGTTCA